TTTCTCCCCAACCAGAGTTAATCAGTAGCTAGGCCTTTGTGATGTTTTCCTTGTTGTTCATTATACTTCTACCCTGAGCTCTGTAATTGAATCTCGGTTGTTTGGGGACATATATACATAAAATAATAGAATAGCACTGTGTTATTTGCCATTGTATCTGTTTATTTTGCTCAATATGGTTTGTGAGACTCAGCTCTGAGTTGTGTCTGTTGTTCTGTCACTTTCTTTGCTGTCACTTTCATGGCATTTCACGATGTGACTTGGGCAAGATTCCTTTATTCACTTTACTGTTGCTGGACAGTTGAGCCATCTCCAATTTGGGGCTATTGTGAATAACATTGCTATAGCACCTTATATCAACCATCGTTAACTTCAGAGTTTCTTGAAAGGAGTGTAACTGTTGGGTTGCAAAGTAGTGGGCCTTCAACTCTATCACTTAATGCCAAACTGTTCTCCGAAGAGATTGGACCAAATTACATTTTCACTGGCTGTCTCCTTTTAGGAAGCTGAGGAGTCCTTTGTGTCTTACCAGTCAGCACTATTTCCACCTCTGCAACCCCGAACAAATGGTGTCTACTCTTTGACCCTGAGGAACCAGACAAGGTTCATGGGACCACTGTCTCTTCTGCTTAAAATAATCCTCAAGTCTTAAAAGTATAGCAACACAACAGTCAGCTTTCTAAGAATGGTCCCCAAGAGGTGATCTCTTTTAGATTCATGGGCTTGGCTAGCAGATAAATTAGGTGTGAGAATATTTTATCCCCTGGCCCCCCAACACACACAGACGGGAGGCAAGGAAGAAAGCTCATCACAGTGGGGCAGGTGGCCTTCTAAAGCCTGCAGAGTGGACAGGAGGAGGAAACCAGGGATATGGTACCTGACTCTTTCTCTGGGGAATCAGGGGACTGCCAAGATCAGGGAGACGGTTCACAGGACGCTGATGTTGTGTCTTTCTCTTCAGGGTTTTAGGAAAACGGAGTTGAAAACACCCCCTCCTCCAACTGCCAGGCTGCTGAAGCCCCAGCACCTGGAATACCAAGCACTAGAGGCATTTCTGAAGCATGATGTAGCGCTACATTGAAAAGGCACAAATAAACCCCAAACCCTAGCACACATTTATCCAGTTTGTGAAGCGGATTAATAGAATAACCAATAAAACATGTATAAAAGCTTTAATTAAATCTGATGAAATAAAACTTCATGTTTTATTTATGGACACTCCCAACATGTAAAGGATTCAGGGAGACATTCATTTTTACTGCCATTTTGTCCTCATATCTATAATTAAATCCAGGCTGCAGCTCTGGCCCAAAGCAATGCGGCATTTTAAAGCTGGCCTTGGACAGTCCCTCCCCCCATCTGCTTTTAATTATAATTACCAACCCCAATACATTGGAGGCTGATGGCAAAAGAAAACAAAATAATAAAACAAACAAACAAACAACGGTTGTTGCCATTGTGCTTTAAAGCAGCCTGATGAAGGAGGATTTCAGGTAGGAGGGCGTCTCCTCTACTTCCAGTTTTATTCTGTACCAAGTGCACAATCCCTTCATTTTACTTTTGACATTAAAAAAAAAAGGACCTCAGGAACAAGACAAAATAACTTATGATTATATGAAACATAACTGTGACAAATCACAAAACTATACATATTAATAGAAAAAAGTGTACCTAATTCTTTAAAAGATTTATGACAATAAGCACCAGATGTGCCTCTAGAGTACAATCGGCCCCAGATCCAGTATGATATATGCAGTTCATTTCTCTACGTGAGTGTATAGAACTATGTACAAGAGTCTGTGTGATTTATGGAAAACAGATTTCCACTTTTTCCCCCCAAAGTGCTTTATGTCAGCAACATTACACAGGATGCTTTGCTGTCTATACAAAATAAATCTCTTTTTTACACTCACCGTTTCTCCAATGAGTGTTTTTTTTTTCTTTATCTATTGCAAAAAAAAAAGTAATCGTAGAAATTCCACACCACCGACAAAAAGTGCCATTAAAAAAATTCTGCTATAAAATGATATAACAAACAGTCAAATAAAATATCAAATATTAAATTGAACACGTACAGTCACTATTCCCAATACTTCATGGCAACTGGAAAGTTAAAGTTCTTGGACGGGGGAGTTGAATTTATCCCTGTTCAAAACTGGTACTAGTATACTAGTGTGCTTGACAGCTGATAATTTAAAAGCAACTGAACAAAACCAACACTGTTATCAGTGGAAGCTATGCTGTGATCTACTAAAGACCTTTTTTTCTATTTTAGTATCACTTATGTAACTTCGGGGAGACATGGGTAAAGGGAGATACCCCACAGGACTAGTAAGTATTTAAATAATATTTAACAGCCGATCAGAGGCTAAATTACAACTGACATTTTGATGCAGTCTCTTTAGGGAATTAAAACAATGCAGCAAATGAAATGTCTCTAGGCATACTGATTTTTTTTTTTTTAATGTGATAGGATAATTGGCTTTGGGCTGTGTGTGTTTTCACAAGCACCAGTTTTGTTGTTTTTTTTTCCTTAGGGGAAATGACAATCTCTGGATGTTTATGAAAATGGTTACATATCAAGACTAAAAAGAGCAGGAAATGGAAGGGAATAATTTTGTGACGTTCCCACTTGTACAGTTACAAAAATAATGAAAGTATATATAAATCTTCAGCAATGGCAAAAGTAAGCAAGGGACACATTCTAAGGTCAGGAAGGATTTTAGAATCTAAGCACAGTGTGTGTAGTCTGGAAGGAACCTGAATGTGTCATGTTCTGAGGCCCTAATCTCAAACCTGCAGCCATCAGGAAACACTGAGGGATTCAGAGGAATGACACTGGGTCCTGCTTCCTGCTCACCCCCTCTGACAACACGAATGTCAGTGCCTCAGGGGGTGGATCTTAAGTTCCTGCTGAGAAAGAAGGAAGATGCACGTGACTCTGCTGACTGGCCATCTTTGAATCCCTCCAGCCAAAGTGAGGCAAGAAAAGGGGCAGGACTCTTCTGAGAAGCCTCGGTAAGAGTAGAGCCTGGCTCACAAGCATCCCTTCTCAGCCAGAGGGAGATGACATTCATAGTATCTGAGGTTCAGCTTCTTGTTTTATCCTCCTCTTCACTTTCTACTTTAAATTATATAAAGTCACAAAGCAAGGCTGACAACATTAACTGCAATAACAGTCTTGCCTTTACATCTTTTTTCTCATCACACAAATGAAATGTATTTTGAGTTACTTGTAAAGGCTTCCATATTTAAGAATGAATAAAAGGTCTCTCCAAAGAAATGAGTGTTTTCCTTTCTTTCTAGAGTGTGACAGAGGATGCGTGAAGGATGCTACTAAGCCAGTGCTACTGTGCATGTGTCCTTGCTTAGGCCAAGTGATGTGAAGGGTGGTGTTTGACATGCAGCCCAAAAGCTCACTTGTAAAGGAAGCCTGATGTGCATCCTTTTGTAAAGCAGAGTTTTGTAAAGTGGATAGTGCATCTCTTTTGCAGACTTGGACATCTCTATAGGATAGCTTTTCTTAGAACACAGACCACTAGTCAGAGAAACAAGACTGACTAAGTGCGCTGTAAAAATGAAACACACACTTGGCTCTTTATTCACCTCATTCTACTGCACATTGGAATGAACTCCAGAATCAGGTAGAACGTTACCAATTGGGGAAACTTACTGAAAAGACTATTGTCCATCAGGATAAGAACTATTATGGAATCCCAAGTCTAACACCACACTGTTGGATACTGTGATGCTCTCAGTTTCACAAATAGCATGGTGTTCAGAAAACAGTTTTTAAAAGTGAGAAAAAAAAACCCTTGAAATATGATAGTACCAAAATGTCAGAATTTATCAGATCTCTGGAATTGGCCAACTTTTACAGCCTATGTCCTAGGACTCGGGATCTTTTTAATAGCTCTGTAAAGGTGTTATAGAACATGACTTCCTATTTAGGTTTGATAGTTTTGGCCAAGTGGCTGTGAAAATTCCAGGCCTCCAAACCAGAGATTTAGAAAAAGGGTTGCCTCCTTCTGCACACTTTTTGCAAAAATGTTACCTCTACCTTCCTAAGAGTTGATGGTCGGGCAATGGTGGGTGGTGGTGGGCATATCTGAGCCACACTGAAGAAGAGGGTAAGAAGGATGCAAAAAAGAGGCTGGGGAAAAGCACAGGGGAGAGATAGAGAGGTGAGTGGATATCCTGAAAGAGGTGAGTGGGGGCTGTGCAAAGTAACTGGATGCCAGGCATCCCTAATTTGGTTTTCCAAGAGAATCCAGGCACATGACTCAGTATGTCCCTGTTCTCATATCTTCTGACACTTTCTAGGCACAACACCAGAGTGGAGGCAATGAGTAAACCAGTCAAACAAGCTTCTTCTTTGAACAAGGTCTTTGAGGTGAACAGTCAACCCGAGAAGGGTCCTACTACAGCACTGGTGGGGAGGATTTCCTCGCCATTTCCTTCAGGTAGCCTTTGCTAACTGCAAAACTAACATGCCAGGGGTGAAGCCAGGGGTGACAGCTGTGCAAAATATACGTAGCCGGGATGATTACAATAATAATTATTTCCTCCAAAGAACAGACCTCTAAATATTTTTTTCCTTTTAAATAGATGTAGATAACAAGTCTTTAAAATGCAAAAACAAAGATAGGCTGCGGGAATACAAAGGCTTATTTTGCTATTGAAGAAACACTGAGACATGGCTGGTTAGCATGGGGCTATCTAAGAGGAATGGGAAAGCCAGGGAGTTTCTGAGAGTAGAGACCACGCTGTGCTTTGGATGTAGATTTCTTCATTGTGCCTGGCTCTGCATCGGGAGCAGTGAGAGTGAACACTGGGTAAGGCAGCTCACTGTGCATCTGGTAGTCGGGGTGTCTTTCCCTATTTGGAGTTTTTGGCCAGGGTCCTCTCCAAATCACATTTCTACATGCATTTCATTGGTGTCTTTGAGGGGTAACAGCCAGGGGTAACAGGTATCTGGTAGAGTGAGACTCTAAATTCCCTTTGAAAAGACAATCTTGCTGGTCACCTAGTCCAGCAAACCCAGAGAGAAAGACGAGTAACTGCAAAGACTCCCACAAAGTGAGCTCTGACCATACAGGACTGCCTTCCAAAGACACATCAGTGTCTCTGCAGGTTGCGCTGATTGGGGTAACATTCTTTCTCCTGCAGTCTGTGAGAGCATTTAAACAAAAGGTGGCAAGCAACAAGTTTCTGGATGTGCAGTTGAGGCCAAGGGAGCTTTTAGCCTTCAGTGTAGACAGAGGAAAGCTGACTGGGACAGCGGTCCACAGCGCTGATCTGCAAGAATGTGGTGTCTTCAGGCCCGCTGCGGAGAGACTCCCCGAAGAGGCTCGAAGAACCTGAAGGTAAATCATACACTGGAAGAGAAAGAACACAGGAAGTCAGTAACTCTTGCCCCACGTCATGCCACTGGGTGTGCAGTGTAGTCAGTCGTGTTCACATGCTGACTAGGGAGCTTTGGAGGCAATCACGCTGGCCTGGACCCTCCAGGGGCTTCTGTTAGTCAGGGACGAGGTTGACTTTCAGGCAGCTGGCCAAAACATGACTCGGCACAAATATGGGCTAAGTAAAAGTGTTCAAGAGAAGGGTGAGGATGACCTCAGAAAGGAAGTAATATTAAAGTTGAGTCATAAAAGAGGATGGAATTCTCATAGACAAAGAGGTAGGGAAGGAACATTCCAGAAAGAGGAAGCAAGAAGCAAACACAGGGAAGGAGGGGCAAGTGGGGTTAAGGCTGCTGGCAAACCTCAAGTGAAGAGGGTGTAGAAAAAAAAATGTGTGGGTAGGTATGAAGAGTCTGATCAGGCCTAATTCACGGGGACTTTGATTGCCATTCTGGAGAGTAGAGTTTATTCTTTAGACAACAGGAAGCTATTTAAGGCATTTGAGCAGGAAGATGGCATATTCTATCCTTCACTTTTGGAAGGTCATGCTCAGGTCATATGGAAGGCATAAGAGGTGTCAACTTGGGGAGATTTGTTGGAAGGTCATGGCCACGTGTGGAAGAGAGATTATAGCTTCTGAACTGTGGAGTTGGAAGTGGGGCTGGAGAAGGGCTGGAGAGGGAAGTGAAATAAGACATTTTGGAGCTATTTCAATAGGATTTGATAGTCATGTGTTGGGTCAAGTTAGTCCAGGCCAGTCACATGCAACCCATCTGGTCCCTCCTACAGAGGTGGGGAGAGGGGAGAGGAAGTGGTTTCTAAGTCACAGATACCCAACATACCTGTAATGCCCGAGTGAGTCGAGAAGGCTCTGTGGAAAACATCAAAACCAGTCTGGCTCATGGATGTGGGGCCCAGGGAGTCCTCAAAGGAAGGCATCACACTGCAGGAGCCGCCAGGTGGCATGGTTCTCTGGGAGTCGGGGTAGTGTGGGGGGCAGAACGTCTGCAGCTGCCCATAAAATCCTGAAATGCAAGCATGGCAATGAGCTTCTTCAGGGTACAAGATCCACATTCTAACCCAGCTAGGATCTTACCCATCCTGGTTTCATATGGCAAATGCTGTTAATTCTTAAGGTCACCTGAAAATCTTCCAAGCAAGCAACCAGAATGTACCATTTGAGCTGAAGCTCTTCTGCTTTAGAGGGATTTCAAAGCTTGCTAGTTTATAACATTTTTACTGTGTGCTTTAGTAGCCGAAGTGAAAGGGCTTCTCACCTTTTCTAGATTCTCCAAAAAGTCCTGGACACCAAAGGCCTGACCTTCAAGGGATGTTCCTACTCCAGGCCCTCCCACCAGGTTTCTAATGCATCTTTCTTAACTTCTTTTGTCCTGTATTTTTTTTCTGTTTTCACATTTGGTAAAAACATGCAGAATGTTCTTAACAAGGCCTATTTTAAAAAATGCATCCATCTGGCTGGATGCTGTGGCTCACTCCTTTAATACCAGCACTTTGGGAGGCCGAAGCGGGAGGCTGTCTTGAGCCTAGGAGTTTGAGACCAGCCTGTACAATATAATGAAACCTCATAACTGTAAAAAAGTCAAAAAAATTAGCTGGGTGTGATGGCACATGCTGTAGTCCTAGCCACTCGGGAGGCTGAAAGGAGGATGGCTTGAGCCCAGTTCAAGGCTGCAGTGAGCCATGATTGTGACACTGCACTCCAGCCTGAGCAACAAAGTGAGATCCCAACTCAAAAAAAAAGCAACAAGAAGCATCTACCATACTACCATTTACTTAACTATTACTGTTGTTGATCATTGCAGTAAAAAAGAAAACTAGATGTGAATAACGTAATAAAAATATTTTAAAAGATTTATTAATATTTTTAAATTATTATTTTCATAAGCCTTTGATAATTTTATTCCCTTCCATTATTTTTTTTTTCATTCAGTGGAGTTTTCCTTGGAGTCCTCTGTGGTTCTTTTCTATGATCCTACAAACCTTTCACAATACCTTACTTTTTCCTTCTTTCTCCTTGCCTCATGGAGAATTTAAGTCAAGGGATTATTTTCTTGCAGTATAATATACTTTCAAAAATATAATAATGAAATCTTAATTCCATACTTTATTGAAGGGAGAGTTGCAGCTCTGCTACTTTCTAACTCTCTACATTTCATTGTGTCTGTTTCCTCAGCTGTAAAATGTGAATGCCATTGTCTACTTCACAAGCCTATTGTGAAGATTAAGTGAGTCATTGGATAAGAAAGTCCTTCTGTAGCGTTAAAAAGTGCTTTATAAATGTCAGTTACTATTGATATCACTATTCTGTTTTTGATGGAAAAATGAAAGATTAATAGAGGAGGTGCCCCAGGATTCTTTCTACGAACAGTAAATGATGGAGAACACGAGAAGAATTAATTGACTTTGGACCCCAGTCCTGTGTTTCTTCCTCTAGAACTGCTTCTTCTTAAGATTGAAAGGCTTTACGCCTGATTAAAGAAATGAACCATCTATCAATAGATGAGGGAGTTGCTATCTGGGTTTCTCCATAGCTCTCCTTAAGTAAAACTAGGGTAAACTGACACATTCAACCTACTATACTCTCAAACCTTCTCATTTCCCATTAAAACTCACAAGGTGGCCTGCATAACTGCTCAGATCGCCCTTGGCTGGGAGGTCTATTCTATGGTTGCTATGAATATTACCAAATAATTGTGCTTAACTGCTTATAAAGAAACAGACTAGCCCTTTAGATGTTTTTAATCCATGATAGATGAAATGCAGATTTGTGGACAAGGCACACTCATAGAAGAAAACCAAATAATAATATTCTTTATAAGCAGACTACAGTACACTTTACATAGAATCAATTTTTAAAAATCCACATAAAACTTAAGGTGGGGGGAGATTCAATCCTTGATAACAGAAAAGACTGACAAAATATCTAAGGAAATTTCGTGTGAAGGCAGAAGGAGAAAAAATGGAAAAACTATTGCCTTTTTTTTTTTTTTAATTTCCCAAAGGCTTCTGTACCATTTTAATGGAAAGGTAGGCAAAAGACCCAAACAGATCACTCACAAATATACAATTGGTCATCCAATATGAGAAAACTGTCAACCTTTAAGACACCAAAGAAATAAAAAAACAGTGATCAAAAAACCTTATTCTATCTATCACATTGGCAAAGATCGCTGAAGATCATTCTCAGTACTGAGATGAGAAGGATCTTTTACAAATGTTGTAGACATTGCAAAAGAGTGCAAGTCTTTTGAAAGCAGTTTGACAATCTGTATATAAAACGCTGAAAGCGTTTGGGAACTTTACTTCTGAGAAGGCGCCCTAAAAGTACATTCTGAAGAACACAAGGAGTTCTGCACAGAGAAAGTCATCACAGTGCTAGTGATCATAAAAGAAAACTGAAAAGTCAAAACTATCAACATAAGAGAATGGTTAAGCAAGTCATGGTATATTATATGATGGAAATATTAAATAGCTATTAAATAATATTTATAAGAAGTTTTTAACACCACAAGAAGACCATTATAAAGTTCATTTATTAAAAAGCAAGATACAAAATTGAATTTAAATACTAGGTTCAGTTATGTGAAAGTCTATGTTATAGGATAAAGGTACCGTATCTCTAGTTGTCTTGGGGTATATACTTTTGCCTTTATATTTTTCTGAATTTTAATAAAGGTGAAGAGCAAGTACTCTGGAGCCAGAATACTGGGTTCAAATCCTAGCTGAACTGTGTATTACTTAGTCTCTTGTCATCTCAGTTTTCTCATTTGTAAAATGGGGCCAATAGTAGTAACTATATCTCATTTGAGTTACAAACATTAAATGAGTTAATACTTACATATTATATAATATAATTTAATAATGTAATTAGTTATATAATTAATGTTTATATACTATGATATACTTTAATAATATAATTTACATTATATATGTTTTTGCTAAATAAGTAAAAGAAAAAGAAAAAATATTTTATAATGAGAATGTAGTTCTCAAAAATAAATTTACTAGGGGAAATAAAACAGCATGTTTGAGAAGTTTAAAGGAACTTGGAATGTGGAGCTGTGTGGTTTGGGTAGTTCCTTGGACTGATCTTGATTTTGGGTACCTGGTGGTCATGGCATACAAATCAGCAGGAAAACGTTACCATGAACCACCATGGTTGGTCTATTAGAATTTGATGTCTCTTCGCTGAGTAAATTAGACAGTATCTGCCATCTATACCGCTATGCTAGCTCTGACCATATTCATCACCCATAAGTTTCCTGATAGCACTCCTCAACGTAATATCAGCCTTCCAAGAAAATAAGACATTTTTCACTAAACTCCCAAGACTCCACATATGGAAACATTAATCATTCGGGGACAATGACTGGCCTTTTGTGAAAACCAATTCATTCTCCCTTTCCTATCTTCTCTCCTGCTTCTGAGAGGGAGCAGAAATGTCATGTGCTTCAATTCATATCCAAGTGTTGTGATGTACATAGGCACAAAAGGTTTGTGATGTGGTAAAATATACTTGGTGAAGTTAAACATTAAACCCAACATTCTGGGCTTCATCTCTCAGTCTGGATTCAAGCGAGGAAGGCAGAGTAGACTATAATTCCTGCCTGTGGGTGTCTTGGCTGACACAAGAGACTGTCAAAACCAGAATGGCCCCGCAAGCATGTTTTATCACTCTAACAGCCAACTCAAGAAAAGAAAATCCTCTTTATTAAAATCCCTCCCTCCAAGTAGCCTGTTACTAGAGATGCCAAATACACTGGTGTGGATGGTTGTGGTCACTCAAATCAAAGAGTTTTAACATATTCTTTTCCCAGTGCTATTTCCATAAAACTAACAAAATTTTAAAAAAATTCCATAAGGGTTTTACCATACACACAAACCCAGAGAAAATCATTTTCTGATGAATGGCTCCTGCATTCCAGTGGTTGGATTTCATGTAGCAAATTTGGAAAGAGCACTACTTCTCGGACCCAAAGCAAAATGAGGCAAGATGTTAACACATTTTGTGGGCATAAAACCTGAGAGTGATGGCAAGGTCAGCCAATATGTCAGTCAGTCAATAATGGTTATCAAGTGTTGGCTAGGGTGCTGTTGACAAGACCAAAGAAACAGAAGATATGCCCTTGTCCCTGGAGATTGACAATGCAGTTGGAGTGAAAACACATACATAAGACAGCATAAGAATGTACATATAAAAATGAGCTGGCAAAAAATGTGAGTTGTTACATTTAATTACAATATCACCCCTCCATTTAAAAAGTTATTCTATCTCCAAGAATGGAGGAGGGGAAGAGTTTGCAGATAAACTCATTCTATCCAAATTACAGCTCCTGAAGGTCAAGGACAATCATTCCTCCTCCTTTCAGTTTTGGGAAGTTTTTCTCTTTCCTTCTAAAAACAAACTTTCTTTTTTTTTTTTTTTGAGTTGGAGTCTCACTCAGTCGCCCAGACTGGAGTGCAGTGGTTGCTCCCGGCCACCGCATCCTCGACCTGCTGGGCTCCGGCGATCCTTCTGCCTCAGCCTTCCAAGTAGCTGGAACTCCAGGCGTACGCTACCACACCCGGCTAATTTTTTTGATTTATTGTAGAGATGAGGTCTCGCCAAGTTGCCCAGGCGGGTCTTGAACCCGCTCAGGCAATTCACTCACCTCGGCCTCCCAAAGCGCGGGATTACAGGCTGAGCCACCCAGCCCGGCCACGCTTTTCTAATTATAAAAATATTTAAGGCTAATTATATCAACTAGAAAATGCAGACCAGTATAAACAAAGGGAAAAAATTATCTTTATCTTTATTTCCATGATTCTGAAATGGCCAGATATATAGACACAAAACTAACTGAAATGTTTTGTGCAAATATACATATAAATATACATCCTATATATATATTATATAAATATATGTATATGACCCTGTTTCATTTTATTTATTCATTTGTTTTTTGTAGAGGCAAGGTTTCACTATGTTGCCTAGGCTGATCTCAAACCACTGCACCCAACCTGG